TCCCGTATATCTATCTATCTATCTATCTATCTATCTATCTATCTATCTATCTATCTATCTATCTAATAAAAAGGCTTAAACACTAATATTCCGTGGTCATAATTTATTCCATTGTAATCGTAAATACGATCCAATTCATCAGACCTACAAAAAAAAGAAAACGAAAAAAAACCAACTCCGAAAAAAAAAATGGAAATTTAGCATTAGACATCCGTCAACATTATTTTTTTCTCTTAATTAAACCCTTCCACCCAATTTTAGGAAAGGTGGGTGGAAGGGGTTTAAGTCTCCTCCTTAACTTAATGTTAAACTGATGTTTCTTTATGGAGTTGTTTTTTCTGTTTTTTTTGAATTTGTAGGTCTGATGAATTGATCGTATTTACAATTCCAATGGAATAAATTATGAACATGGAATATTAGTGTTTAAGCCTTTTTATTATATCCTTACTCTGTCCTAGACATTGAGTTCTACCTGGATTCTTCCTCTTGGAATTTTTATTCTAAAAATATACATGTATGGGTATTTATATATTTTGCATATGTATGTATATTTACCACTAATATTATCTATCTATCTATCTATCTATCTATCTATCTATCTATCTATCTATCTATATACGGAGAAACACATACATGTATGCTCGAACGTATGGATGTGTATCTGCGCGTCAGGTTTTATATGGATGTGTTTGTACGAACTTAAATGCATGCACATGTACATATGTGTGTCTATGTATGTGAGAGTGTTATCACAAGCAAACATAGATAATTCCCCCTCCACCACACACAAATAATCAAACACAAATAAGCAAATACAGATCCACTTAAAAAAAAAACAATAAACCAAATTGTCTGATTAACACTAAAGCGTAAAACACAAATTTGCAAACTACTATCCATACAAATGAATATTTTATCTCTATCATAGATATTGAGTACTTTCCACTAAGTACCGCGTATATATATACATACATACATACATACACACACATATATATATATATATATATATATATATATATATATATATATATATATATATATATATATATACTAGATGCATGGCCCGGTGTTGCCCGGGCTTGATTCAAAAATCTTACGACTCATACAGCAGTCACTATCACTTGACTTAACATATTTTTTCCCTTCCTTGACTTTAAAGGAGTACCCTTTGCCGTGCTGATGTTGCTACATGCCTTACTTCTTGCCTATCTCACACTGCAAATTTTTTCTAAGCTCTATACTAAACATTAAATCTGTTACGAAAAAAGAACTAAACAAAATGAACACAAAACGATCAGCTTTAAAAAAGGACTCGTAACTGGAAAAACCGAATGAAAAAAGAATGTTAACAACAAATACTTTTTCACACCCAACCCAGTTCTGCAGAATCAGAATCAGAGTTTAAGCAAGCGACTGTGCCAATTGGAGTAAAGTGCCATGCAGATTTAAATTTTTCCCACTTGTGACGAATGCAGTTATCGATTTATTTTGCATGCTAGCATGCTAGTTAACATTCGTGTCAGTCAGCTGTTGGCTCTCACTCTGGCTAGTAGAAAATGGCCGCAAACTACATGAAAACTGCCGTAGAAGCATGACAAAAATCGATTATTTCCACTATCGATGGGAGTTGGGAAATGCAACGTCGGTCTTGGCGTTCCCGCTAACTTGGAGCATGTGCATGTAAATTTTGGTGCAAATCCGTCGAAAGAAAAAAGAAAAAGAAGAATAAAAAGAAAGAAGAAGAAGAAAGAAAGAAAGAAAGAAAGAAAGAAAGAAAGAAAGAAAGAAGAAAAAGAAGAGAGAAGAAAAGAATGAAGAAGAAGTAAGAAGGGTGTTGAAGCTTGAATAAGCATGGAATAATAATAATACAACACAAAATGTACGTAACAAAATGTATTGAAACAATGAAAAAAGGTACACAATATTTACAGGTAGTTTTGGTATATTCTTGGGAAGACTGTTCCTGCAGAATGGGTTGACTAAGTCGCAGTCGGGCAGAGTCTCTGGATTCGATCTCTTAATCTTCCGTCGTCTTCCGGTACCAACCCATATTTATATGGTCGGTACTCCACTTATGTAAATTAGGTGTATCATACACAACAAAGGGGAAGAAAAATAAAAAGAAAGAAGACGAAAAAGAAAGAAGGACATGAAGAAGAAGCGAAACAAGAAGAAGAGGAAGAAGAATAAAAAGAAAGAAGAAGAAAAAGAAGACGAGGAAGAAGAAGAAAAACAAAAGAAAGAAAACAACGAAAAAGAAAGGAGAAGGAGAGGAAGAAGAAGAAGAAAAGGAAAGAAGAGGAGGAAGAAGACGAAAGAAAAAGAAAGAAGACGTAGAAGAAAGAAGGAAATAAGAAGAAAATGAAGAGAGAAGAAGAAAAGAAAGAAGAAGAAAGAAGAGGAAGAAGAATAAAAGAAAGAAGACGAAAAAGAAAGAAGACGAAAAAGAAAGAAGACGAAAAAGAAAGAAGAACAAGAAGAAGAGAAACAAGAAGAAGAGGAAGAAGAAGAAGAAAAAGAAGAAAAAGAAAGACGACGAAAAAGAAAGTGGTAGAAGAAAGAGAGGAAGAAGAAGAAAAAAAGAAAAAGAAAGAAGAAGAAAGAATAGGAAGAGGAAGAAGAATAAAAAGAAAGAAGACGAAAAACAAAGAACAAGAACAAGAAGTATAGGAAGAAGGAGAAGAAAAAGAAAAAAGACAGCGAAAAAGAAAGCAGAGGAAGAAGAAAAAGAAAAAGAAAGAAGAAGAAGAAAAGAAGATGACAAAAAGGAAGAAGAATGTAGTCGAAATAAATTACATATTTGCAAAATGTTATGTGCAATTTTGCATGTATATTTTTATGAAAAACTCAGCGTGTTGCAGTCGATTTGGTCGTTTCTGTCGACTTTGCTATAAAATTCCTTCATTTTTCCTTCCATTTCTTTAAAAATCAATGTGTAACTGATGCGATCCGAAGAAATAAAATGGTTCTTAGCTTCGATTTTCGAATCAATTATTTAGATTTAAATGTTTAAATTCCATTTATATAAATTCTCTCTCAATCTCTCACACTCTCAGTATCGACCTCTCCGCTCTCTCTCTCTCTCTCTCTCTCTCTCTCTCTCTTTCTCTCACTTTTTAATCGCTTTCACTCCAAGCAAGTTAGTAAAGCTACTAAGACGCAATCAGACTTTCGTCCAAATCGATCTTTTCACCTGAATCGAAGTTAAAATGAGCTTTTGAAGTTCCTCACTCGAGGAATTTAAAGGTATTGACCGTCCTGGGTAAGACGATAAACTACATCCGCGTCCTGGGTAACACGATAAACTACGTTCAACAGCAAGGCCTCTGATCAGGAGGTTTTCAGGAGCGTGGAACCACCTCTTAATTGCTGTTGTACTCAGTTCCACTCTAACCCGAAGTGGTAACACCTGTTAGGGTCCCAACTATGGGTAAATAGTTAACCCCAAACTAGGGTGAAAACACCATGAAAGTCTAAAAAATGGGTTTAATCCCAGAAATACTTTGTAAAAATGATTACCAGCAATAAATTTTTGAAGAAAAGCTATTACCAGCTGCACATTTTCGAAAACAAATATCTTGTCTGCATTAAATAACCCATTGAGGTTAATATACCGTAAAACAAACCAAACCAAACCAAATTAAAGGTAGTGAGGAATTCAAAGATATTTCTTCAAACTTATCCTTCCTGTTTTCTCAGGTTAATTTGGGTGTTAAAACCGAATTAGTCCTCCGCAGGACCTAACTTAAAAAGTTTTGAACTAGCATATGACAGCGTCATTATAGAATAGATTTAAATAAAAAAAAATATTTAAGGACAATTTTGCACTTTAGGAAATCCTCCTCATTGACCGTGAGTATTATTTTCACCATGCCATAATCCCAGAGACGTACCACCTCATTGTCAGTTGAGTCATCTACTGCACAGAAAGAATGTGGCGCTAACTTGTACATAACTAAACCATCCATTGTGGCTGGATCTGGTTGTAGCAGGTGTAGACAATTGTCTTCTTAGACCTTAGTTTGCAAAGCCAAAGAAAGAAAAATATTTCTATTTTGAGTAACTTCCATATATATATATATATATATATATATATATATATATATATATATATATATACTAGCAGTAGAGCCCGGTGTTCCCCGGGGATATAACAGTAAGAGATAGATCAAGTATCGACCATCATAAAGACTGAAAAATAAAAGTGACAAAGATTATTGTTTAAGGTTGACGAACACGCATGTCTTAATTAGTTTTTTTGTTTTTTTTTTACGAATTGGTCAAACCCAAACTCAAACAAAAACATTGTTTTCAATCGTTATGAGTCTACCGATTGAATAGAATTTTATTATAAACAATTGTCTTGTAAATGGAATTTTTAAAGCATTCTGAATGTAAAAATAAAGAAAAAAGTGTGCAAGACAATAAGAAACAATACCTACCAAAAAAGAGTGAAGTTTTGTTGAAATCGGTTGAAAAATGTAGGAAATCCAATCGCATATATAAATGAACACATACACACACACAAACAACCTGGGTTTTATAAGTATAACTCGATATGAGTTGTCCCTCTTTCATTCTGGTGACAGAATCGTGTTTTCAAATTGATTTCGTGCAAAAACAATTGTGCTTTTCCAATTTTTGGCGCTGTCAGAACCACCGCAAGGTAATTTTACGCAGTCCTGTGAAGTTTTGTTGAAATTGGTTGAAAAATGTAGGAAATCCGATCCAATATATAAATGTACACACACACACACACACACACACACACACACACACACACACACACACACACACACACACAATCTGCATTTTATAATAAGTAAGATATATATGTATATCGTTTCATAACTTCTTTGGTTTAACTGAACTCCTGTTAAGGTCATCTAACACTAAACAAATAGTGCATTGTGTCAAATATTTCAGAGAAGGGGTTAATTAACTTTTAACTATGCCATCCCCAAGATCACCACTAGCCGTCCAGGTAGTTTAGGCAGGAAGAGTTAAATGATGCCAGTCCCAAGATTGCTATTAGCCAGCAAGGTAGTTTAGGCAAAAAGAATTAAAATATGCCAGCTCCAGGATTGCCATTAGCCAGCAAGGTAGTTTAGGCATAATTAGTTAAAATTTTAAGGAACGTTTATGAAGAGAGGAGATAATTTTGTCATTATTATTGAATCTTACTTTTTATAAAACGCAGATTGTGTGTATGTGTCTGTAATATATTGGATCGGATTTCCTACATTTTTCAATCGTTTTCAACACAACTTCACAAGACTACGTAAAATTACCTTGCAGTAGTTCTAACAGCACCCAAAATTGGAAAAACACAATTGTTTTCGCACGAAATCAATTTGAAAACACGATTAAGAGGCATCACGAGAATAAAAGGGGGACAAATCATATCGAGTTATACTTATTATAAAAATCCAGGTGTGTGTGTGTGTGTGTGTGTGTGTGTGTGTGTGTGTGTGTGTGTGTGTGTTCGTTTATACATGGATCGGATTTCCCAAGTTTTTCAAACCGATTTCAACAAAACTTCACTTGGGGGGGCAGGTAGTGTTTTTATTGTCTTGCACACTTTTTTTTTTCTTTTATTTTTACATTCAGAATGCTTTAAAATTCCATTTACAAGACAATTGTTTATAATAAAATTCTATTCAATCGGTAGACTCATAACGATTGAAAACAATGTTTTTGTTTCAGTTTGGCTTTGACTAATTCGTAAAAAAAACAAAACAAAGAAAAAACAAAACAAAACAAAAAACTAATTAAGACATGCGTGTCCGTCAACATTAAACAATAATCTTTGTCAATTTTATTTTTCAGTCTTTATGATGGTTGATACTTGATCTATCTCTTACTGTTACATCCCCGGGTAACGCCGGGCTCTACTGCTAGTATATGATAAAACTCTCCAAGAAATGTCCGTCTATCGGTTTGCGCATTCGATAAATCTTAGTAATGAAAATGCAGGTAAAATTAGCTTAAAGGCGTGTGGCTTACCTTGAAGCTCTTCATTGTCGTGCAATAAAGCATGTTATATCAAACGGTAGTCCCTTCTACAAAAGGGGACGGAAGTTCGATTCCTGCCGAAGGACATATTTTCTTTATTTAGAATTCTCGAATGCGAAGGCCAATCGACACTATATGCACTGTTCAATAACAAAAAATGGGGCGTATATTTCAAATATGAAGTATCCACTACAATACCGTTTGAACTAATTTATATATATATATATATATATATATAACGTCATCCACAGACAGACTGTTTCGTAGCTCATCAGTGCGGTTAGACATCCGGTTGCCTCTAGCTAGGGTCGAAACCCGGCTGACTTGGTGTCAGTCGGAGATTCTAACCATTAAGCCGTCGGCGCACGGTAGATATGAATTTTTAGCGTATTTATTTTTAGAAACACGCCCAGTGATCGACAGTGACTCAATTCGCTTTCGCTTTTTTATAAATTTCAGTTGCATAAACAGGGATCATAACATTCATCTACAGGTTCGGGGTTAATGTACTTTATTAAATTTGTTTGCGAAGATGTATTCTCGCCATTTAAATCATTAACTTCTATATCTGTTTTTTGCATGAGTGAGTCATGTAATGTAAATTGAACTGCACAACATACTTGATATTAAAATAACTGATCCGACGTGCAACTTTCAGATAATAACTGTGACATTCTTGTATTTATTGAGCAATTTAATTCATGCCACATTGACTGAAAAACCTACCAGTACAAAAGAATTCTCCTATTAGTACAAGAACGCACAATCTTAAAATTTAAAAATTCAACCTCAGCGTTGTGACCGCACGCTCTAAAAAATGTCTTACATTTAAAAATAACACATTTCTAAAAACATATTTCGGATTACATCTATATTTTCGTTGTCCTGTTATTACCGAGAAGTAAAAAACAAAAACAAATCTATTTCCACACCTGATGATGTCTGTATGAACAGATGAAAGCTTGTAAAAAACTAAAAAAAGACCTTATGCAACTGGAATTTATAAACAGGGATCATAACATTCATCCACAGGTTTGGGGTTAATGTACTTTATTAAATTTGTTTGCGAAGATGTATTCTCGCCATTTAAATCATTAACTTCTATATCTATTTTTGTATGAATGATTCTTGTAATATATATATATATATATATATATATATATATATATATATATATATATTAGGATATTACATTGAAAACATCTCAAAATCGCTACACAATTACGTCGTGTTTCAATATGTATCAAATGCATCTCATCAGATGATTGTAAATTACTGGCTAGTGAACGAGGTTATTTAGATTTAAAAGCAATATGTAACCTCCTTTATGAAACAAAAAAGGAAAAGGCAGGGGTTATAAAATTTGTCGGCTTTACTCAGATCAATCGAATATGACCTACGTTAAATTTAAACTAAGCGAAGAAGCAGAAATTAAGAAATTATTTTCCATAAATGGGTCATGACCCATAGACTGGCAGTCAATGGCAGCAGGAGCGGGTGTTAATGGATACATATTATAGACACTAGACTATGTCATTTCCTAAGAAAAAATGAGATGAAATGGTAATTTAACCAAATACTAAACAAGATATATGCGATATAAATTTTTTATAGTCGATAAATAAATAGCTTCTTTAAGAAATCAGCAAATAATTTAAACGTATAGAATTACTTGGTAAATTAATATGCTACTGTTTACTATGTAAGATGTTAATATCAATAACCAATCAATGCAAAATGTAAAAAATACTAACCAAATACCAATACATCCGTACAAGATGTTACCAGTACTACCAGGAAATTATATTAAATCCATATTATTCTTACGAAT